CCCCCAAGGAAGAAAGTACACAATTAGCATACTTTTCTACAAAAATAAAAATACACATAGCATGGAATTTAAATATTGTGGATGCATGCAAAACCGGAATCAAATCCGAACACGAAAAGTGAGGTTATGCCAACAAAGTGACAACCGAGAAAAAGACGAAAAGTGAAAAGTGTCACAAAAGTGAAAATGTGAAAATGACTCGGTTCTCAAAGGAAGTCGTTAATCCACGGAAAAGAGTCTTGGAAACCATCCCCGAACACTCAAGATGACACTAAGTAACGAGAAACCGAACTCAGAAAGGAAAAGATCAACGAAAAAAAAAAAAAAAATCGTGAAAATCTAAGAAAATGAAAGGAATGAAAATGACCGGGTCATTACATCTCACCCCAATTCCTCTTCCCCTCGTTTAATACCCTAGATGCCTTATTGCTCGATGGGAGCCAGAAAAGAAGCAGTGAATCCAGTAATGCAATGATTCTCATTACAATTACACCAGGCTTTCCTTATTCTTTTACATTTTCTGGAAACATACAGTAACTAATCATTTGGCTCATTTTAATCGCCTTCAAAATCAGTAGGTAAAAAGTTTCAAGAATTATAATGAATTATGTTTGCAGCCAAAACTCAACAATAACGCGCCCCCGCCCACCCCCCCCCCCCCCCCCGCCCGGCGGGTGCCGCGGGGCATGTAAAAAACCATATTGAGTTCTTAAAACATTGTTTTGTTGTTTTGTTGTACCATGAGAAGAAGATGAATTAGTGTATACCATTTTACTTCTTTGTTTGTTTGTTTAGTACTATTTAGGTTCAAGAAAGTTGGAAGTTTGGAACATAGGCCATGTGAACTCATGATTTGAAATTAGTAGTAAGTAGTGTTATCTTACACTATCTGGTGTTGGTTCCATAAGATTCTGTAAGTATGGAAGCTTGCAGTGGGATCAAACCATAGATGGATCCTCTGCTCTCTACCTCCTACTCCATTTGTAAAGACATTAGTCTGGACTAAGTAGGGCTTCCCTTCTCTGTTACCCAGAATCTTAAAGTCCAATTCGTCGCCATTGTGCGAAGTCATCTGCCAAAAGATAAAAAAATAGCATTAGTTTCAGTCACTACTTCAACTCTCGAATGGTTATTCTTTTATGGCATAAAATCACATACTATCTTACATAGAAAGCTGTTACGACGCCTGCAGAGTCTTTGTCAGGTAACTTTATCCTGAAATGGAAGAACCCAGAGCTATAACTCATCTTGGATTGAATTCCAGATCCTGTTCACCATCGAACATCAATGAAAATTGAATCCCACTAGAACTATCATGCCAAATAGAGAGTCTAATATGGTCTTATAGTTTCAAGCACTATAAAACTCTTTAATGTATGATTGGTGAAACTGCAATATATATAATCAAACTTAGGCCTTTTCTTGTAATTTCATTTTTGTTGCCATAAAGCCTTATTGATTATTGAAGCTTTCTTTATTGGATCATATGGTGTATGGTACACTAAGCATTGACAGAGTTTCTAATAGAAAAAGTTACTACAAGAAATATGATTCTTGTAAATGATAAAATGCCCTGAAAAAAAAAAGAAAAAAAAAAAAAGAAGAAAAAACCATAAATGAAATACATATAAATAAGAACCAATGGGCATTAGCTCAAAATGGTATAAGTTGAGCCCTACAAGGGGCAATATTGTGGGTGTGTGCGCGTTTGCTTGAACTTTCGGGGAAAAAGAACATATAAATAAGAGAGGTGGAAGGTAGGGAATTAAGAATGACCAGAGGATTGGTCAAGGGAGAGCTGAACATCCTTGCCCTCGTGTTGAGACCAGACACGATCAGCTCCAAATGCAACATTGTAGTTTTCATCCTAGCTGGACTGTTGTGCTAGTATTTTCCCCACCAGAACTATCATAAAGAAGCTCAGTAGATGCAAACCCATGACTTGAATTGTTAATTTGTGAGAAATGTAGAGCTATTCCAACAACTTCCTCCCCTCTCTCTCCCTCTCTCTCTCTGTGTCTCTCTCTCTATATATAGAGACATAGAGTGAGAGAGAGAGACAGATGGTGTATATAGTATATATCATCAGGTCACCAACTATTAGAGACATGCAAAGAGAGTTTGATCCGGAGGGTATGCTCAATTCTTTGTGCTGGTAGGACTTAGGAAACTCATTCAACTGGAGAGTTTGATTATATATACACTTGATGCTTTTTGGTGAATCATTTTAGTGTTTAAACAAATGTGTACTAGCTCTTAATCGCATAAAATACATTCATGTGATGTTGTGGCGGGAATTATTGTTTCGCAACCCAATAATATTTTTTAACTCATTTTTCGCATACAGGTTGCAAACTCTATTTGGTATTCTCTTATACTTCAGTATATAAGGCGCTTAGAGTGTTATTTATTTATTTATTTATTTTTCAATAAATATAATGGCATTTAGAATTTGGAGTGGAACTTAAATATTTGTATCTCGTGTCATGCTTTTTCAATCCCAAATTCAAGGCTTTGATTCGATGCCGCCAAACGTATAAACACACCATTTTCTGTCTCCATATTAAAAGAGAATTAGAAAACCATGATATAATCTGCACCCCTTTCCTAAATTCATTTTACCATTTTATGTCAAGAACATAATTATAGCCAATATCAGTTTCCCATTTGAGAGATACCATATGGTTTAACATAAATGAAAATAATAAAAATCGATAATGTTTGTGTTCGGGAGCATTGAATGTTTTTAAATTCCAAATTCAAAGGATCGATTCAAAATTCAAGCCTTGAGTAGCCATGTTGTGAAATACCCAAGGTTGGGTCTATCTATCTCGAGTCCTCCCTCCCTAAGACTATATTGTAACTGGTACTGTTCATTTTAGAAAATATTAAAGAAATCATGCTTCATTTAATTTTTCATTTTCATTTAATTATAAACTAGACATTTTTCATTTTCATTTAATTATAAACTATACATTTTTCATTGACTTGCCCTAACTTTTTTACTCACTTCCAATTGCTCCTATGGGGACTTCAACCCTCGACCTACGCGAGAAAGTATCGTCATAAACCTTGGTGCCTAATGAAAGTAATTGAGACAAGAAAACACAAAGCTAATTGTGAATACAGAGGAAAATGACTAGCAGAGAAAGAGCATAGATGGTCCAGTAAATGAGCTTAAGGCCGAGCGGGAAAGGTACAGTGATGGCTAAGAAGGCGGCCGTGACACCAAATAGGACCCCAACATGCTCTAGCACTCGGGCTCGATTCGGGAACTTGGGAGAGATGTACTTGGACACAAACAGCGCAGCCACAGCGACCACCATTGCGAGACATAGCAAGTGGAAGCTCACAGACAGTGAGATCGGGGCAATAGTTTGGAAGGATTGAAGAGCGACTGCAACTGCCCATTGGAAGCAAAATTCGATTACTAGCACTGGCCAATCGACATTGTTACGTGCAGCAACACCACCAACATCAACACCAAGGGCATTTGGAATGACTGGTTCAGGTATTTGCTCATTCATTCTTCTCTTGCTATTAAGCAGGACTTTTGTTTATTTATTTTTTTCTTATATAGGAACGGAACACAATTTATATGTGACACACTTATTTTAACAATTGGAATTGGAGTTCCCAAGGATGGCAACAGAAAATTTATTTTTTACTTTATAATAATATAATACTACATAATATTTAAAACCCATATTTATATTATTTTATATGTACAATAGATTCATTTTCATTGGACCATGGTCAAACAAACAAAATATTTGCCTCTTTTGATGAATAGGCACTCACTACAACAGCAAGACAAAGCACTTGCACGAACAAAATGTGATGATGTGAACTCCTCACACGAACAAAATGTGATGATGTGAACTCCTCATACAAATTGTGAATCAACTAAACTATCGTGTATGGTATAAGGAGTACTTGGGTCATCATTGGAAGTACATTAACAATGCCTTGGTGACCAAGACTTCAAATTTTAACAATTCTCGGTACTTGGAAGGGATGGTGGCCAATCACAAGCATATAAACATCACCAATCCAATTTAAAAGAAATAATTTTTGACGATATGCTTTGAAAATCAAATCACATACCTAAAGATCAATACGTTTGTCCAAGCAAGAATAATACAAGAGTACCAGAAACTAGCACTCCACTAATCTTGGATTTAAAATAGGAGGATTTGGAACTGGGTTGGAACGCCAAGCGGCTCTAGATTCAGGGGCTCTAGCTATAGCCGAACACGAGAGAAACATTGTTTATACTGATACTGACAAGATAGTTTTATCAAGTAATGAAAAATATCAATTGCAAGTCATAAAATTTTCAAAATTGAGCAATTATTGCAGAGTCCCGACCAAAATTGAGCAAAACAAAATTGAACAAAGTCTTGACACATTAACTTGCTTGTCTGTTAGTGATTGGCTTAGGGGGACTATGTAAAAATTTCTCCTCAAACAGCCAAAAATACTCTTAAACAGCCAAAAATGAAAAGGCTTGATGGCAGGATAGCTAAGATTTTTTACAAAATTAATGGTAGGAACTGATTAGCAGAAATTACTGGGTAGGTAGGTAAACTGATTATTCCCTACATGTCATGACCTAGACATAAGCCTGATGTGCCATACACAATCTTTGCTAGCCCTAAGAAAGTGGTTCTATGGAGCTCAAGCCTAAGAAAGTGGACCAAGTGGTTCTATGGAGCTCAAATTTAGGACTTGTTATGAGGCTAGCATGCAAGTCTTTAGTCCATACAAATACACTTCCAATGGGAGTTAATGTCATGTCTTTTGTTTGAACTATAGACACCAATCTCTCTCTCTCACTCTCTCTCTCCCTCTCTCTCTCTCTCTCTCTCTCTCACACACACACACACACACACAATTCACTGCAAAGGAACTTGTCGATCTGCGCAAAGGGGTTAACCCAGCTTGCAATGGAAGCTGCAACTTCTTGTCTCAAAACTATCAAAAAATTTGGACCGTCCTTCTAAGTCAATACATCAATTCTGTATCAAATAACAAGGAATACCAGTCTTAACAGAGAATCAACATAACCATATGAATTTGTTGTACTTCCAATACCAAATTTTCAAATAAAGAAAACCCTAAAATCCCTGCTAGGCTACACAGTAAATCAAACATCTGATATAAGGGGTGAAAAAAAACCCCGCTTGATGAAAAAAATAATAGTAGTAGCAGCAACACATGTTGTGCTTAACATGCCAATTAGAGCACTCAAAATGATGGGGTGATAAGACCAGAAAACCAAGCACCTGTGATACAAAAAATTCATAGTCTTGCATGCTTCTTGGAATCCTTAGCCTGCCAACTTGTCAAAATACAAGCTCAAGCTGGTAACTGAAGCTTAACATTGTTCTTCCAGCTGCAAACCATTACAATAAAACGAGTCATGTTTTATGCAAAGAAAAAATTTATGCTTCCATTTACTTTCGAACATCAAAGCGTATACCTTTGGAAGTAATAGTAGAAGAAATCAGCATAAAGTAATGTCTGAATAAGCCCTGATATCCAAGCTGCAATAGCAGAACCATTACATAAATGAATAAATACTTAGATGCATTAAATGAAACATAGAGATTCATCAAGTTAGCATTAAATGCGTGAGCATGAGCACACAATGCAATGCATGCACGCACAAACAAGAGAGAGAGAGAGAGAGATACTTACTTATCCAATGTATATAATGAGGCTCAGTGAAGTATCGATAAATCCAGTTTAAAATGTACAATGCTCGATATGCACTGCAGTAAGAGAAACAGAAAGGATAAATGTTGGCTTCTATCTCACGCATTAACCTCCAACAGTAACTTGACAGAAGATTGGCGTAAATAAGATATAATATGAATTTGCATAAACTATAAAATACCAAATAATGGAACTTCCAAGGCCTCTTGAAAATTTTCAAAACTATATATTTGCAACCTATGGTCCTAGAACTTTCTGAAGTAAGAAATTATGAGAGCAATTGATATATGAAGTCTCAGCCAGATATATCTATTATTCAAATTATTATTATTATCTCAACAGATTATATCAAAATATCTGGTGCTAAAGCAGAAATTACAAATCCCATTATGAGGTTTTCTTTTTTTTTCACAAGCAAAATATATTATGAATTCAATTATGAGATTATGAACTATGAAGCCAAAAATCTATGACATTGCATGATTTTCAAAACTTTCTCAATCACAGACACACTGTCAACCACCACCTTATCAGGCTGGAAAAAGCTATGAGATAATTTTGTTCACCAGTTTTAAAACTATTATTGAGGGAAGATAGATAGGCTGATCAATGAAACTGGAGCACCGAATTATAAAATGGATGAAAGCAGGTTTCATTCTTGCTCCACACCATGGATTTGTTTAAGCATGCCCCAGAATCCTTTCTTGAAAGGTAAAACAAAAGAGCCAAAGAGAAGCAAAAAAACAGACCACACACACACACACACTGAGAATTAAAGAGCTCCATTGAGGTGCGGCTATTCTCAACTTAAAAGATACTGAAAGGAAAAAAAGTTTCCAAATGAGTATTTCAGTTGGAAACTTGGAACTGCAAAAGGTCCTTATCTTCAAATATTCTTCTATTCCACTCCTTCCAAATGCTCCGGCAGGGGGTATGAGGGTCTCCACCCATACCCTTCAAGTACTTATTGACCAAACCAAGGCTCAGACACAAGAATAATATCAAAAACCGTTTTACGCCTCACCCAAAAATTCTTAAATATTGACAAAAGATCCACACTACTACCAGTGCAAAAAATGATTCACAAATAATCAGCATAGACTATGTTCTACTTCTCAAATAATCCACCCTCCAACATTTATCCTTCACTCCAACCATGCGATGAAAGGCACTTCCTAGAATATAAGAAGTGTAACCACTAGTCCAGGTAAATTAATTTTCCCAAAAGCTCGCCAATTTCTGATAACTGTATCTAAAAGAGAAAAACCATATTCACTTACTTTCCAGACAATTGCATCTCAAAATCTTTCACATATCTGAGCACATTGAATCTTATTTAATTGAGGAAAAACATATTTAACAGAGTAATCGAAGACCGCATTCAGCCTCAGTTGCAATATTATCACCCTAATAGTAGTAGTGAAGTCAGTTGCTACATATGTCTGATTGAGCTGTACTTTATATCCCTGGAAAGCTGATTCAATGAACAACAACTTTGTAGTTTTGTCAATTTCATGAATCCGGCTCCAAATTGGTCAAATATTAGCTGGAAGCAGAAAAATAGACAAATCTGGAACTCAACATCAAAGCTGTTACAGTTGTTTGGCCATAACTTTCAACTCAGAAATCAGATTGATGAGAAAATTATATATGTGAAAGAAGACTTAGAGAACTATAACTTTGTAGTTTTGTGCATTTCATGAATCAAACTCTAAATGGGTCAAAATTAATTGGGAAATGGACAGCAAAACACAAAAATCTGGAAAGACAATATCAGAGCTGTCACATTCATTTGGCTGTAACTTTTGACTGAAAAATCAGATAGAGCTCCCATTTGAAGACCTGCAAAGACGATTCAGAGTAGCTTAAGTTTGAAGTTCACTAATTTTTGTGAACCCAGCTCTAACTTGGTCAAAAATGAGCTGGAAGTTGCTGTCAGAGTGGAAAACGGGATTTTACTGCCCTCCGCCAATATCGACAGTGGTCGATCACCCTGGCAACAAGCTCCACAGAATTGCCTACTCCTGAAGTCGCCGCCGACAGGCCAATGGAAGATGTGAGGAAGGAAGAATGTTCATTGCTAGGTTCACTCACCTGAGCATCAAACCATTGGCCCATCTGCTGCATGCCATCTTTCCTTTTAAAACCATGTCTAGTGCCTATTCTTGGGTTGGGCTGAAGCCCACTCCATGTGATAAGTGCCGAATGTTGTGCATTCAAGCCCTTTTATTTGCATATGTTAGCTCTCTAGTTAGATTTATGGGTAAAGTACAATGACACCCCCTGAAGTTTGGGGTAAGGAATACAACCATTTTCAATTGACATAAATACCCTTGGATCTAATAGGTGTAAATGGGTTGCCGGGTACAACCCATCTGAAAACCCCATTTTTTCTCTCTCCTCACTCTCTTCTTCTCTTTCCCCTAGCCCAAACACTAACCCTAGCCCAAACAAGCCACCATTGCCTCTCCCTCAAACCCGCCATCGTCTCCATCCCCAAAACCACCCACCATTGTGTCTTCACTATTGCCGCCACCACGACGATGAGAGAGCTGCCACCGCCACCAAAAAAATGGAGGCTGATCAAATCCACACGCACGGATCGACCACAAAAGTGCCCCTTAGCAGTTCTGACGAGCAAGAGTGTACGGCAATGAAGGGGCGAGCAAAATTTCTGAGGGATCTTTGGGGTTCGATCACGAGCAAGGGTCATCGAAGATAGCATGGAGGTGGAGATTGAAGAACTGAGATGGGTCGCCGGAATTGAAACTGAGGGTTACCGAAGCTTTCCGTTGGGTACTTTGGTGACGCGCACAAGGGTTTCCATTTCAAGGGATGCTAGGTCGAAGGCTGTTTCAGGTCCGACAACTGATGGCGGTGGAGAAGGCCGTTAACGATGGCGTCGGCGTCATGTTGATGTCTTTCGGTGGAACACCAGTTGGCGAAATGGCGTTAAGCATCCCTAGCGGTATGAAAAGAGAGGTCGTGATGATATCATCTACGTCTGTACCGCTCCTCATGGAGTAGATCTCGCATCCAACCAAGTCTTTTACAAGGGAACGAGGGAATTCCCACTACTGTTGGCAGGCCAGCTGGGCCGTGACCGCGGTGCGAACGGGCTTCCCAAAAAGCTAGCCCGAGCGGGGTCAACATAGAATGAAGGGTACGGCCCTAATGTCGTGGGGTTGCAATCGTCGCCTTCGCCACTGCCATTCCCCACCACCACAACCATCATCCCTATTAACAATCGCTATCCCCATAGTTGACAACCACCTCCACCCATAGCAGACAACCACCGCCGCCATCCCCATAGTTACGATGATTTAGAGCAGAGAGAGAAAATGTTGAGAGAGATGAAATTGGGTTTTGGGAATTCAGATTGGGGGCAGTGCTTTAAGATTATACATTAGTGCCCATATGTTTTATGATGAGGCATGGTCTAGTGTGGTTGTTTTTGTCCAGCGTATAATATATATATATAGGAAAAGGGTAATTTGGTCCTCTAATTATTTTGATATCTTACCATTAAAATTAATCAAATGAAGGGTAAAGTAGACTTTTCACATGTTTTTAGGCTCTGTTTGGATTACAAATCTCATTAGGGGGTGTCATTGTCCAAAAATAGACCAACTTGTATCTATCTGTCCTTACCCCAAACCTCAGGAGGTGTCATTGTACTTTACCCTAGATTTATTTTATGCTTTTATGTCATTTCCGTGTTTTTGCTATTTTCAGGTAAGCATCCTCAAATCAAGTAAAGCGGGAATTCCGAGCCGTCAAATGATGCCTCTATTCAAGCCAATTTCCAATGAAGACTTTAAGTTACTTGGACCAAGACCATGGTCAATTCTGGACCTAATTAAAGACTGGCCAAAGCTCAATCCAAGCCCAAGAGCAAAGAGGGCCATCCATCAACCTATGACCAATCGCCAGTCACAGCTTATTGGCGATGACCGGTTGCCCTCATTAATCCCAGAAGTTGAGCCCCAAAACAAAAGTTCCCTATCTCGCTGACCGAACGTCCCTAAGGGTGACCGGTTACTCATTGCCGCACAAGAAGCCACAGCGTGTGCAGCAAAGGCCTTGACATGCGACGACCAGTTGTCACCCATGGGCGACCAGTCGTACGACTTTAAGAAGCTTAATTGAAAAGATTGTTGAAAAGCAACTTTGACCCCTAAAATTATGGATCTGGTTGCAAGCCCTTGGTGCACGATTTTGGAGCTCCTTGACCACACATTTGGAGATATATACTCCATATACCATCATTTTATTTTATTTTATTTTCCTGAATTATACCATCATTATCATATATCACATTTTGGGGAAGATATTTCTAGACAGAAATATTGGGTTCTAGGGTTTTGAAGAGGAAGATTGGTGGCTAGCTTGGAGATGGTGTTCCCTTCTACCATGGAGGCTTCTACCTTGTCCATGAGCGACTAACTTCTTAACTAGGGAGTTGATGTAGCCCTCTCCAAGTAACTATGGTTTAATTGTGTTCATATTTGGGAAAATTTATGTATGTGTATAACAAGTTGTTTAACCTTGAAATTACATTTGTCATTCTCTTGTACTCCCTCCGTCCCAAAATAGTTGGGCGCTTTGGGAACTGTGACTCACAATTTTGGAACGGAGGGAGTAATTGATTTTAATGCTTATATTCATTCTTGATGAAACCCTTTTCTTGTCTTAGAAAACTTATTTATCTTGATTGAACCAAAATCATCCTTATAGTGACAATAGGGATGAAGGTTAAGCAATGGTTTTCATGGCATGCAATGAAAGAACTTTGATAAGTCATGCTTAGGGAAGACGAGCCGTCCAATGCCCTAGTGTAACGTAGTTAGGTAGACGAGTCGTCCAACCGAAGATGGATTATTCTTAGTTTGTATGTTGTATGTGCATTCATCTTCTTGGCGATTCCGTTATGAGGTTGATGCCACACGAATCATGGTTATACATTATGTAAAGTTACCCATGCGAAACACATTTGACCATAGTTATGAGGGTGTAGTGAAGTCAATTCCCTAGCCGATTTTCTCTCATTATCTTCATTTTTATTACATTTCCGCTTTAAGTAGTTAATTACATTTCCTTTAAGTTGAAAAACAAACAATCCTCCATTTTCTAATTAAACCGGAAGTAATCTTAAAAATTTAGCGGCCATAAACTTCGCAGTCTTCGTGGTTCGATACCTTTTACATAGCCTTATCCTACAAGGACGCGTGCTATTGTGAGTGGTTTTATTATTGGAAAAAGAGAGAAACATTTTTACACATCACTATGCTTCGTTGCCATCCATAACTACCCTGGTCTGTACTTTTCACGTCAGCCTTGGAGCCAGTTTGCCTAGGCCCAATTTTGTCTTGAAAACTCCCTCCATGTTTAATGGGGTCACTCCTCGAACTTGGCCCACTTTTTCAATCTTAGCCTAATTAGTTTTAGGGCGAGTTGAGAAAATCTGGATCTTCCTTTATATGCACCTTTGTTTAGTCTAGGGCTTTGTTTATTCAACCCAACCATTCTAATACTACCTCCCATTCTCTTAGAATTGGGCCCGTCCCTCTTATCTAGGCCACTTGGGCCACCAACTTCATTATTAACATAAGCTCAAAGCGCAACCCACCAACATTTGAATTACCTTTCCTTCCATGATGTGACCAGCCCTTAGCATGACCCACCCCCTTTTGCCATATCCCCTAATATGGCAGAAGGGGGTGGGTCATATCGACCTTGGCCCACTTTTTCAATCTTGGCCTAATTAGTTTTAGGGCGAGTTGAGAAAATTTGGATCTTCCTTTATATGCACCTTCGTTTGGTCTAGGGCTTCGTTTATTTAGCCCAGCCATTCGAATACTACCTCCCATTCTCTTAGAATTGGGCACGTTCCTCTTATCTAGGCCACTTGGGCCAAAAACTTCATTATTAACATAAGCTCAAAGCGCAACCCACCAACATGTGAATTACCTTTCCTTCCATCACGTGACCAGCCCTTGGTATAACCCACCCCCTTCTGCCATATCCCCTAATAGTTGTCTCCTACTCTAAAGGGTCAATTATTGTTGTTACACCACGTGTCCTCCTAGTTCCATCACCCCTCTCATCACGCCTCAGGCACGTGTCGTCCCCCTCTTCCCTTTGGGTTAACCACTCCTGTAATTCCGGGATGTGTTCTCTCCTATCCTAGATATTCCTTCCAGTCTCCTCACATCACCTCCACCACTCATCCTCCTGGATTAGGTTTTGTTTATCCCTACTAACAAGGGATTCAATCGTCAGTACAAGTTCTGATGCCCATTCCTCCTACAGAGCCACCCTGTAACACCTGATTGTCTTTGACAAGAGCATATCTCGATACCTCTCCACAATCTGTGATGGTGGTAACAACTTCCTCCGAATCCAGAAGCTCGTCAGCCTCCACACTTTGATATTCCCCACACAGATCCCCCACTGCTACAAATAGCTCCTGACACCATTAAGTGTAGGGTAACCCATAAAGCAAGATACGTCTCTCATTCCTTTTCTTCATTATACTAGAGCACCCTACCCTGAGAGGCCACACGTCGAGCTTCAACAATGCCTCACCCCAATTCCTCTTCCCCTCGTTTAATACCCTAGATGCCTCATTGCTCGATGGGAGCCAGAAAGAAGCAGCGAATCCAGTAATGCAACGACTCTCAGTACAATTATACGAGGCTTTCCTTATTCTTTTACATTTTCTGGAAACATACAGTAACTAATCGTTTGGCTCATTTTAATCGCCTTCAAAATCAATAGGTAAAAAGTTTCAAGAATTATAATGAATTGTGTTTGCAGCCTAGAGAATGCATGCCTTACTAGTTAAGCAGCAAAGTACTAATCCCAGCAGGATGGCCATCTTCAAGAAAACGTGCACACCATGTGCCATGACCAAAGACAAGTTCGTTTCTACTTTTAACAAAATTTGTTTTCTATTTCAATTTAGTTCCAACAATAATGAAAACACAGCACACAAAGTAATTTAAGTAGAGAATGATGAAGCCAAATGCAGAAATAGATGAAAGAAAAGCAACAAGAGAATGCATATGCTTACAAATCAATCAAATCTGGCATTGAACTAAAGTGAAATATCTAAAAGAAAAGGTAGAAAAGGTATAATTGACCACACTGGAACTGAGAAGTTCTGAGAAATTCAATTGGACGGTAGAACTATTTCATTTCCTACCCATCCCCAAAAGAAAGTGATTAACAACGTTGCTCTATTTTTTTATTTTTTTATTTTTAGAGGAAGGGAGGGAGGGGGTGTGATTTAACAGAGGCTGTCTCCACCTTGTAGGACTATTCCCTTTGGATTCCCGCAATCACCCTCAAACCACAGGTATTGGGTTAACAACAGTATCACCACCACAACATACGGAAAACCAGGAATTTGAGGTACCCATGCAGCTAAATATGTTACGATTCTAATAGTTTTAGTACTAAATGAAACAAAAAAAATCTGACATAGTAGATTACCCAAGGAGCAGGACATATTGCCCTGTCAAGTTGTCAATATTTCTTGTCCTTTGCAACAAGACCAGCTGAGGAAGTATGGCAACAGCTTCCAAAAACAAGGAAAATGTCCACATTACCTGCTCGATTCAAGCAGAAGTACTTCAAAAAGTGAAAATACAGTAAAAAGAACTGAACACCCCATCATTCTTTCACAAATAATACAATTAAAATAAAAAATCAATATGTCAACATACTTTAAGTGGAGAACCTATCGGCAAACAAGAATAAACTTAAGTATATAACAACAATTAAATGGAAAGGCATGTCTACCTCTTTGAAGCTGAACTTCTCATTTATTAGTAGGGCCAAAAGAAAACAAGGCAGTAGAAGGAAAAAATGTCGAAAGGTGTCTTGGTCCTTATCATAAGATCTGCGGACAATCTTGTGATGCCTTATGTACCATACAATTGAGAAGGAGCTCGCCAAGAAGATTAACTTCATTACAGTATTATAAAATGAGATATAATCGGTAAATATATCCAAGTAGCGAGTAGCAAAAACAACAGCATAGAGCTCTTGCGTCTTCAGTGAAACGCCTGCATACAACAGAGGTAACTCAAAATTAAATAACATGTTAAGAGAACTAAAAAGAGCTTGTTAGGCCATGATCCAGCGATAAACTGTAAACAATGCAAAGTCACATTTTGATCACAATTTATGGAGCTAAGCAAGATTGACAGTGAGATAGGAGAAAGCATAACACATTGCAAGGCAATAACCTAAAAGATATATGTGAACATATGAAGACAAGTAGAATATACAAAAAATTACCAGAAAATTACATAAACTACAGCCAAATATGTTATTTAATTTAGTAAAAGTACTCAAGGTTCACTTTTCCCAGCCAGATCAAATCAATTTTGGATATATTGGGTATGAACCAGTGTAATCTCAGGTTCACCAAAAGGATTGTATCTGTGTTGGTCAATTGAAATCAAGCAATCCGGTTTTTGAGTGTGTGTATCATGCTCAACTTATTATACACAAAATTAACTCAACAGGACCTTATCCAGGGTTTATTTCTACTTGGTGTCAGTTACATGGTTCTTTTTTTCATTCTGCTCCATTTATAATTTCTTCATTCTTAATCAAGGCCTTATATTACACAAGTTCAATCACAGCCTCACCCAAATTATTCTTTTTTGGGATAGGTAAGCAGGGAGAGATGAAGACAGCTTCAAACTCCTTTGGAAACACAAACCTCAGCATATGGTTTTACCGCTAGCCAGCCTTACCAATTAAGATAACCGGCATCTTCCACCCACATTGTCCTTTTCTGCCTTCCTCTAGTAATTGTAGATCTACTTGCACCATGTTACTCCTCAACTAGTCACCTAAGCAGTCATTGGTTTCCATGCATATGATAACATCATCTTCTCTCTCATCTGATCTCAGTTTCTACTAACTTCCAATTCATGCATTCACTATAGTTCTTGCCATTCATTCTATTACCAATTATCCATCTCTATATCATCATTCATTACCCAGTACCCACTCAATTTCATAAATGTTTCTCACTTTCAAGTAATCCATACTACAGAGTAATGCAGCCGTTATAGCAGATTTGAAGTCCCCTCTTAATTTCTCTCCTTAATTTAACTAGCACTCACAGAGTCCACATCATGCTGGAACCATTGCCATCAATTTTTACAGTTCCGCATTCTGCTCCAAGATTTTACTATCATGATCCACTTATTTTGTTTCAATCCAACTTATCCCAGACCTAAAAATCTAAAGAAAAATAAAAATTCCCATTAGTGTTTACCTTGGGCAAACTCTTCTTAGCTCTTCCACTACGTAATATATGCTCTTCCACAATGTCCTACATGACCTGGGCACATCACGTGCCCTGATTGCTCAGCGACATTGAATTGAAGAAATTTAAAGTACTTCAGCATATGGATTTATAATCTAGTAAAAATATTGGGAAATTTCCATCGGAATTTTAACTTAACAGTATTTATGAATTGAACCAAATTCTAGAAGTTCAAACAAAGCATAAGATTTTTCAAATTAATAGCAGAATTAAGATACTTACAGATTTGGAATGTAATCTAACAAACTCCTTCATGTAACTGTTAGAATTGAAGGGTGTACAGACTTAGTATAGAAGAAAAGATTTCCTGTGTTGTCAGATTTAATTACTTTAGGAAATACCAGCTTGGCAATTCAACAGGGAAGCAACCTTTTATTTAGCTAAAACAATGTTCAAAACATACAAAGAAAGTGGAAAAAAAAACTTCGAAAATTCAATTATTCTATTGGGAAAAAAAAAAAAAAATCTTGCTATAATTTCCTATACTTTTCCACTTTGTGCTTGCTTTCTTCTTATCCATCCTTTTATGTTCAGACTTATTAGAGCTAAGCATTCTCAAATTAAAATAAAAAAGAAAAGGCTCAACATAGAGCAGCATAAATATAAGGTCTCTTTAACTGGAAACTCTGCTTCCTCCAACTCTAATTCATTCTATGTCACAAAACCCATATATCATCAATAAGAAATAAGGCAAATTTGTATTAACTTAAGACTCCATTCAGCAAAACCAATCCTAACAATTTACGGTCAGTTAAATGAAAGCTTTTTCATCATTTTGCTCCAACAAGGGCCATATCCCCCTTCACATAATAAGCAGCCACAAATTTCTCGTGGACCCAAAAATCAATATTCTTCTCCGGGTATTTTCAGTGCTTTGAAACCCATCTGAGCTGAACCCTATCGGTCCTTACCAGTGCAATTATTGGTCTTATCCACAATTATGAAAACAGACAACTCGCTCATCTTATTACTAAATACTAAATAGGGCTACCTTTAACTCACCAAACGTTCTCCTTTTTAATCCTAAATTTCATTCCCTAATTATTAATCCTTTCCACCACTCTCAATTCTGCAACAGTTTTATGCATGACACGAAAGAATGAATTAGTTCCCCACAGCATACACAAACAATAATCCATAATTACAAGAAATATTGACTTCCCACTCTTATCTCAAATGCCAGTCACCCAAAAATCATATAAAAAAAAATGAGAAAACAAACCCCCTCCATTTCTCTACATACAATGCGATACTTCTTCATCAAATACAATGTCATAGTTGAGTTATTTTCTACTTAAAACATCAGCTAAGACCACTCTAACCCAGTTTCTTTATTCCCCAACAAATTTTAAGCAACCCAACACAGTTAGCTAGAGCACAGTTCTAACCCCCATCCAATTACCTCAAAAAATTCCCCTAAAATTTCTAGATAATCAAGATACATAGAAAATACACATTCATCTACAAAATAAATGATTCATGATTAATCAAACATATAAATGCAGAAATGGGTGAAAGTGATAAAGTACAAACCAGCACAGGATTTGATGGTGTGGATCTTGAGAAGCAAGACGAGGACACTGGCGAGATGGGTCATGTCCCCTGCTAATCTGAATATATTCATCTTTCTTCAGTATATGCGTTTGGATCAACCGGAAAAATGTTGGCCCCCCAAAACAACAGATCTGCCCAGAAATTTTCCCAACAGCACTCCGTCCGATTGATCTGAAAAATAAGCGAGAGAAGGTTTCCTCTCCCTTTTCTTTTCTTTTCTTCTGTTTTCCTTTCTTTTCTCGTCTTTACCACTGGTTCACGGCAGAGAAGAGAAAGTAACCGTAAGAAGGAATGGTTTTGTCGAAGGAAAATGACTCGTATCACGTGTGGTGAATGCAACGACGTGTTGCCACCAATAAGATCACACCTTCACTCGAGGATTGCAAAACTAGAAAGTGAAAGTAGTGGAAGGCGCGTGAAAAAAATGAAGTAAAAATAAAAAAATTAGTAGTAACTTGAACTCGTGTTAAGGTTGAAATCAAAAGTGGGGCTTTTTTTTTTTAATAGTTAAAACAATAATTAATAATTTACTTATCAAAAAGACAAAGTAAATGAAGTTTTTCTTCACATATTTGGTTAGTAAAAAAATCTGCAAGAGAGAAGTACTATTGTATTGTTTGGATTGATGAAATTGGAAGGAGAAGAAAAAAAATTGAAGGATCAGTGAATTTTATGTTTGGTCTGATATTAAAGAGAGGAAATAGAGGACAAGGAGATATTTTAAGGAATAACTCAACTTTCTAAATCTCTAATTTGCTATCCTTTCAAAAGTGAAAGATTTTGAGGGAAATGATAACAATTAAGTGAAATTTTTGTAATATAAAAAATATGCATAACTTCCCCTTGTGTTCTCTTTTTTATATTTTCCTCACTTCCAACCTTTTGCAATAATTGTTTGGGTGTTTGAATTCCTTTCTATATCTAAGATGCATTTGAACTATTGGATGCTTCAATGAAATTTCAAGAGTTGAAAATATTTTTCCTTTAGCATATGATAAAGAAGAGTATTTTCACCCTTAAGAAGTCTCCAAGCCACTTTTGCTGACATACTTAAATTGAAGAATTCAGGATCTCTGAAGCCCAAACCACCTACTTCGTTTGACCTTCAAAGTGTCCTCTTTGCCACTTTCCCAAAATTTCTCATCTTAAGGTCAATACAATCACAAGTAGCAACGAGGATTTTGAAATATGCCATGGGGTGAGTGGGAAAAAAAAGCAATGGTTGTCGTTTTTTAATATATATAAAAAAAAAAAAAAAAAAAAAAAAAAAAAAACCCTCTCTCCCTGTCTTTGACAGAAGATGACCTTTTATAGCTTTGATTTTTGAGCTCACCCTATCTTGAAGATATTTGATAGAGGTTGCTTTGGATGGGTCAAAAATAACAGGCACCCCTAAATACCAATATGACCACCCATTGATCCTTATTTGTATTCTTTCGTTTGAAGGAAAATATTAGAGCTAAAGAAAATTCCTGATTTGTTCAGATTAACTGCCTAGACATCTATTTTGTATTGGTTCAAACTATAATTTAGAATTCTAGCTTCTACATCTATTAATTCCTGATTTGTTCAGATTAACCACCTAGACATCAATTTTGTATTGGTTCAAAATATAATTTAGAATTCTAGCTTCTACATCTATTAATTCCTGGTTTGTTCAGATTAATCACTTGTCTAGACATCTATTTTGTATTGGTTTAAAATATAATTTAGAATTCTAGCTTTTGCAACAGAAGCTTGACTGAATAATAAAGGAATCATCCGCGAACATGATATGATTTAAAGGAGCATTCTATATACCCAAAGTAAACGCATTTGTTACCAAATAAGAGAGAGGGAGGGGCGGAGGGAGGGAGTGTATATTATATTAATGTATTGATAATGAATACGTGTGGTGAATAAGTAAACCCTATATGTATATTGTAACTCTATACATGATAACAAAGATAGGTGAAGATGGCTAACCCTAATCCTAATATACAATATATTCTAACATTCCCCTCAAAATCAAGGTGGATTAAATGAAACCATCTTGAGTTTGGAAATAAGATCTTAAAAGCGGCATGGCAAAAGTGATTTGATAAAGACATCTGATCATGAGAAATGATGGATCGTAATTGTAAGATCTTTTGAAAAAGATGATGACGAACAAAATGTGTTTAATTTGCTCGTAAAAGGCATCATTGTGTGCAATTTGGATTGCACTCCTATTATTACAATAAATAGGAGTGGCAGTGGATGAAGAAACTCCAATGTCTTGAAGGAGCCAACGTGTAACGACCCGAACCCGGAGGCCTGAACCGTTAGCTGGGTCCTTACTCAAACCCGAGGTTATCTACGTCAAACTCATCATTTCTAGCGTCAAACGTCACCTTTTAGGTCATCATTAAGTTTTCATAAGGGCTCAAAACAAATCCCCAAGAGTCGAGAGTAGAATAATAAGAAGGAATAGCAAAACAACCAAAACAGGGGCACTTCGGTCAACCGAAGTGGAGTTTCGGTTTGCCGAAGCAAACCCTCAAGAACCGGTCTACTGAAATCCTCCATCGGTCGACCGAAAGGTGAGATCTTGAGAGTTAGTGAATGGTTCGGTCGACCGAACCCTATTTCGATCGACCGAAATAGTAGATCCCGAGAGTTTGAAGATGAATCAGTCGACCGAAGTGCCATTTCGGTAGACCGAAATGGCTCTGTCGAGCCTGGAACCTGATGCTGAGATACGGCACTTTGAAAAAGAGAAGAAACTAGAATGGAAACCTTGCAAATACTCCAAACTTGTACCATGCAACAAAGAATGAGGTTTTCTACAATCATGGACGAAAGTACAACATATAATCACAGTAACAAAGTCATACGAATTAATTACATAAAGTTTAGGCATGGTCTTTACACCTTGAATAATTTTGCATCAAAATAAAGCTATGGTTCATGGTTAGGTCACTAGGCCATATGCAATGACTTAATTACATTTCCATCCACTAAGGATACAATTGAATGACCTAGATACAAAATAACAAAATGAAGGGCGTCCAATACTCCATCAATTCTGTGGAGGATTGTCATCCGCCAATTCTTTGCCATGACCTAAAAAATGTTAAGTATAATGGGGTGAGCGAATCGCTCAGTAGGTGGCACCTAAGACACACCTCTTGTGTCCCCGTGAATCCAAACAAAGAATAGGACAATGGAAAGCGGGATCATATCATGTCGGGAAAATACAACATCATATCCAATCTCAACATAAACAATACGATGCAATGTAAATGCAATGCATGCTGATGTCGGTCCCCATTTTTAACATTCAAATCCGTCACTTTTCAAACCGTTAATGTAACCCTCTTTGGTACCCCCTCAGCGCCGAGAGAATGATTGGCTACTGTCCCTGACCATTGGTACCCCCGCAGCATCATTTTGGGGCTCAAATAACTCAACCACGCTAGGGCAATCTCCCTAGTTCCCTCTAGGTTACATTAACCTACCGGCCCTTTGGTGACTCCGCGGCGACCGGGTTTTTCATGAAAATATTTCAATAAAAACTTCTTCCCAAAAATTCCCCTTTTCTTTTCAAAACACGTGTTCCCATTTTCTTCCCAATGTTATGCATGAGTGCTTCATGCCATGAGATTTATCATTTCACAACAAGTTCACAATTTAATCTCACATTACACCTTACAAGAGTTTTCTAAGAATACATAACATGCTTCCATACAATAATTTTAGCAAGTTAACAATATTATCGGCGAGGGAAATTAACACATAGAACATGCTTTCCACACATAACATAAATTAAACATATACCCACATGTTCAAATTACAAGGTTTAGTCATCATAAAACAAAATCAACCCAATCTAGCATATCAAGCAACACAATAACCATAGGAAATTTACATTTAAGCATGCATCTCATATAAACCAACTTGTACACATTTTCATGAACTTCAACATGTCATAATTCATTTTAGAGGTAATCAACACAAATAAGCATGTTAGGCAACAATTAACAAGAGAAATTCACAAAGGAGCAAGAGATTTCGTGAATTAGAAACCCCTACCTCAAGTTTGCACAAAACCCTCAAGATGGGTCTCTAATTTTGAAATTCCTATAGAGCACCAAAGCTGAAATTGTTGGTACTCACGCGTAGAGCTCGTCGTGCTCTCCGTTTTGCCTCAAACGACACTTAAAATCGCCAAGAATTGAGAGAAAAACCTTAGATCAAAGCTTGCTTCCAAAAGAAAAGAAAAATGAAAAGAGAATTGAGAGAGAAGAAGAAATTACGGGGAGAGAGAAAGTGGAAAGAAAATGTGGTCTCTAGACCACTTATGTGGTTAGTGGTAGGGCCCATAAAATTATCTTTTCTTTTCTTTTTTTCTTTATACTTCCCTTTTACACATATAAATGCACATTAAACATGTAACCACTTAAAACATAATGAATAAAAATAATTAAGATGCAAATGGACCAAACTGAAATTCCGTATGCAAAACGTGAAATGACGAAAATGCCCTTGTGGCAACAAAATTCCAGAAAAATGAAAAATGCCGAAAATCGGAAACATCACACGCAACCACAGAAGCTTAGAAGTGGTATCAGCAAGTGCCTTGTACTCAGTTTTTGTGCTAGATCAAGCAACCATAATCTGTTTCTTGTTGCGCCAAGGGATAAGTGAATCACCAAGAAAGAAATAATAGCCTATAGTAGAACAACGATCTGTAGGGTCTTCTGCCCAGTCTACATCTGAATAGGCACGAAGAACAAGTGGCGGCTGAGAAGAAAAATGAAGCCTGTGAAACATAGTACCTTTGAGATAACAAAGGATGCGAAAAACTGCAGCAAAGTGAATGGATCGAGGGGCAACCGTGAACTAACTAACTATGTGGATGGCATGAAAGATGTCTGGATGGGTGATAGTAAGATAAACCAGATTAACAACCAATAGTTGATACAAAGTACCATCTCGAAAAGATTCTCCAACACATAGATTAAGTCTTATGTTATACTCAAGTGGTTATCAATATCTTGCTATTAGTTAAACCCGATTTCGAAAGAAGATCGGATATGTATTTTGCCTTAGTGAGGTAGTAACCATCTGTAGATGTAGTGATCTCAAAACCAAGAAAATAACTGAAGGGTCCAAGATTCTTCATCTCGAACTGATGACTAAGAAACTAATTGAGCTCTTGAATTCCCGTCAAATCATTTCCAATGATGATCATATCATCAACATAAAGTAAAAAGAGAATGATACCACAATAGGTGTGTCGAATAAATAAA